GAGGAGGGATGGAGGGGTTGAGGACAGTTCGAGGCAGCCGGGGAGGAATCTGCATCCCAGGGCGAACCAACTTCAGAAGAGGACACACAACAGAGACATAACAGGACAGGTGAGCAGAGGCAGAGAGGAGGCAGACGTACACTGCAGCACACACATACAGATGTTGTCAGCTCCAGAATGGAGGACAGACACAACTGGAGCTGCACTAAGTAAAATAAAACCTCCTTAATACATCTTTTGTGACTAGCAAAATAATTAAGTATTAAATGTGACTATTAAGGCTTTGGTCATCTTTAATGGCTTCAGACCACTGCAAACATCCTAAAATACTTATGTTTCAGATTTGTATCATTCTGTTTGCAACACACTATTTCACCTGCTTTGGATTCTGCAAATCTTTTGCAACATTTCTGTCAAAAGCAGGAGTCTTAACGATTTCTTCTACAGAATCGCAATATTTTTATGTGGTCTCCAGAAAATTATTTCAGTGACTTCTCCTTTTTGTGGTCCATTTTCTGCGTTCATATACCAACCCTCAGCAAGTCAACATATTATTATTATTATACACAGAAATTTGGATGGCTGCTGAAAGACAGACTTATATTCTGAAAGGACATACTTTAGTCTAAAGCTGACAGGTTAGTGTAGCAGAGTGCAACATGTCTGCACCATTCTCAAGACCCCCCGCCCCTGTGTTTTGATTTTCAGCTGTTGCATATAAAGCACCTGAGCTTGCAGTGGCAGTCGCCCCTGCCCGGGTCCAGCGGCGGCTGCAGCAGCTGCATTGAGCTGCGCCTGTGCTGCGGCCTGCTGGGCTTGCTGCGCCTGCTGGGCCTGCTGTTGCTGCAAGGCTGCACGGGCCTGTTTTCACACACAAATGCACGCACACACACACACAGAGCAAAGCATGCAAGCAGATGGATGGGTAAGCAAGACAACTGCAAACCTATACTGTTTTCTCACTCCTGAAGCAAGGAATTAGGGGTAAGAGAGGCACTGACCCACCTTTGCCAAATAGTGATACCAAATCCACTTAACAAAGTCGGTATTGAGGCCAATATCGTACACCATATCAGACTGGTGCATCCCTATTATGGGTTAAATAAAAACTGGCAGATAGTCTGGATCAATTTCAGAAGCAGATTAAAAGGGGGTGCATGTTTGACTAACAGACAAACAATATGTCTCTGTAGCAAAAACTATCAAGTGCTGAAAGTTGCCATTAAAAGTGGTTAGGGCTTGCTTACTAACTTGTTGATCACATAAATCCAGACCTAAGCCACGATTTTCAATGTTTCTATCATTTTATTCAGGCAAAGTTCTTGAATGACTGTTGTGTTCAGACAACATTAAAGGACAACCTAGCACCTTGTTTTAGCCTCAACAAAACCCCAACATAAACATTTTTACAAGCCGTTTGTTGGTGAACTTGTGTTCTTTTATGTTCGCTACATCTATGCACTATTTTTAGCTTTGAGTGTGCAGAAATCAAGCTAGCTGCACTCACAGTATGCTTTCCTTTATTTTTACTGGATAAGCAGATCGAACAACGTAATATTTGGCTGTCTATAAAATGTTACATGTAGTGTTGAAATGTACTGTTTCCTCTATTTGTAATTATTGCACACTAAATAAGCACTAATATTGTCAATATTGACAACCAAGTGAAAACCTAAATAGGCAGCCATTAAGCATTTATTTTTAGTTTTCACCTTGCTAGAAGTGACACTGGTCATTCTGTCATCATGATGCCACAGGAATATTATTGCAAAAGTTAGAGTAATTAAGAGAAATTAGATGTCCTTTCCTCTGTTTAATCCTTAATACATCCATAATTCTTCTGACCCCTGATCTTAGGCAACATCAGCAGAGAGCACCAAACTTAGTTTATCTTTTAGTCTAAATGTAAGCAAATAACACCATTTACTATTCAAATTATAATTAAAATGCACAGTTACTATCTTTGCATATTTCCTTTGAACCATTCTACAAGCATCTGCACTTTAATTTGAACATGTATGCTGTGAACACTGAACTCTAGTTTCCTGCTCAGGATGTATACATATAAGCTATGTACATCTACATATCATGTCATTTGTCTCAGCCTTAGTGCCCAGTCAAGTGGCCTATGTCCTTGCCCTTCAAATTATGAATTTTATGCCCTTTTTTTTTTTTTTTTACCATATCAGTTCTGGTACTGTTTAGGCACCAGCACCATTTTAAAAGTATCAATTTAGTACTGGTATCTGAAAAAACCCAAACGACATCCAACCCTAGTCACAGTACATGCAACTTGCTAAGCCCTAAAGCTATTTGATATTCACTAGGAACTATTCAACAATTATTCAAAGATCTGAGGAACAGCCTGTATTTTCCAGTTGCTTATATAATAGCAGGTGACTGTCACATACGATTCAGTTGTAAGCGCTGTCCATGCATGCGTAGTCAAATACACCTGCTCAGCACTTGTCAAATAACTGCACAGATCACATGCATTATTATCATACAGTTTACCCAGTCGTGCAGTATCCCTTTTTCTTCATGGGTGTATCCCCTGCATGCTTCTTCTGTTTGTATTTGGTGCTGTAGTTAAATGATAAAGCAACCTCATTTTTGCATTATTTCCAGGCAGTGGTAAAACCCAGGGAAAACAGGGGCTTTTTGTTTTTAAAAACAAAACCATAATCACATGAAACATTTTTTTTTTTAATTAGACAGAGCCACAGTTCCTCAAATACCAAAAAACATGTTCTGGAATCAAAACTCAAGTATAGCATTGGCACACATACCAAACATTGTTAAGCTATACCTATCCTACCCATAATACACTGTGTTAATCTCCTATGATTCCTATGAGACAGAGGAAACTAAAGAGTCACTGTGCTGCCCATTAGTTCACAAATTTAACAAAAAAACAAACAGTGAAGCAAGTACAGGTGATATAAACAATTTTTACTAAGGTTCATGATCATAACGTGCTACAGATATGCATGAACATGATTGCAGTGACTTCCGTCTCACCTGGAGAGCCTGAATCTTGAGCTGGTGCTGCTGCTGCTGCTGCTGCTGTTGACTGAGCGAATTGATGGAAACATGCTGAGCAGATGTCATCTGTCCAGCCAGGGACTGAGGGGCCATGCCAGGCTGCTGCTGCTGCTGCTGTTGGGAATGTGGAGGCATCTGACCTGCCTGAGACTGAGCCTGGGCCTGAACCTGCTGCTGCACCAACTGTTGAATGGACTGGGCCTGTGCATGGGCCTGGGCCTGGGCCTGGGCTTGTGCCTGGGCTTGGGCTTGAGCCTGAGCATGCTGCTGCTGCTGCTGCTGTTGTTGCTGCTGCTGCTGGAACTGCAGCTGCATCACCTGCTGCTGCTGCATCCTTGACTGGTGCATCTGCAGAGGCAGGGAGCAAACAATATTGGAAGAAGAGCTGTTAGATGACATAATTTCATCATCATCAGGACAGACAGCCTGAAAAGGGACCCCAGTTTAACATATTGTATCTGTGCTTTCATTCTTTCAGTCAAAACCCAAGATCATAGGTTATGGTTGGAAAGTAAATCAAGCAGTAGATTAAGCTTCATCTTTACACTCAGTTCCTTATGTACCACAACAGTCGATTACACAGTTTGCATTACCGCTGACATTGCAACAATCTGCTTGCTGATCTCACAATCCACCCTCACTCGTGAAGAAGACCCCAAGATACTTGAGGTCATGATCTGAAGAAGCCAGCAGAACCACATCGTCCACAAAAAGCTGAGATGTAATCCTGAAGCCATTGCAGGGCTCCAGACTACGACCATTTACTTGCATTTTAGGATTATTTTTAGCAACAGTGGGACAAAATTCTTTAAATTAGATTACTCATTAGATTACTCGCTCATACTTACTACAGGAGTCAGATGAGCAGGTGTTGACAAATGCAAAGAGGACCTACTCTTTCCAACCGGTTTGGCTCACACAGCTTATATGGCTGAGGAAAAAGGAGCATCATGCATGTACTGCGCTCGGGGTGGCCCAACATTTGCAGGGGAAAATATGTCTGCCGACTTCAATGCAAACTTTAAACATGAAACACATATGAATGTGTTGTGTTGCATGTGAATTTAATTGGTGCACCTGAATTATGTGCAGGTGCTCCTAATGTTTTCCAGTAAGGAGCACCAGTGCAACTAGTGGAAGAAGTCTGAAGTCCTGTCATTGTATACATTTTTTGACAATATGAAGTGTTATAATTTTTGTGCACCTGGTTCTGCTGCTGCTGGTTCTGGGCCTGCTGCTGCTGATTTTGGTGCTGGTTCTGGTGGTGTTGCTGTTGCAGCTGCTGCACTCTCAGCTGCACCTGAAACTGCTGCTGGATGGCAGCATTCTGTTGCTGTTGCTGCGCCATGGCATTGGCTGTTGCTGCTCGTGCTGCTGCTCCTGCTGCTGGGCCTGCTGGAACTGCTGGAACTGGATGGACTGCTGTTGCTGTTGCTGCTGCGCCTGCACAATCTGCTGCATGGGCATCTGGCCTGGGCCCCCCACTGCAGAGTGAATGAGAAGAAGGTGAAGGACTAACCCAGTCTATAATCTGAGGAGAGCTCTGGAATCCCAAACACACACAACGTGCCAAAGCGGAGGCTGAAAATAAGACCATCCCTGATACCAAAATACGCCGTTTAGATGCAGCCAGTATCCACTGAATGCTCTGAAGATGTGCATTTACAGCAAACACGCACCACATGGAGGAAACACAGGGGTGTCTGCCGCCCCCCCCTGCCATGGCATGCGGGCCTATCTGCATCGGCCCCATGGCCCCCATGCCACCTACTGGAGCACCTGTGGGGCGAGGCCCCATGCCAATGGCGCCCGGGCCCCCTCCAACCCCTGTCAGGTTAGTCAGGGCATTCATGGGATCTAGCAGAAGGGTAAACAACAGACAATATTATGCAGCTCGAACATGCGCAGCAGAAATCATGAACACTATGAGTCTGATAGTGACAGGTCCAGCAGAGGACAGAACACAGCAAAGAAAAACTAAAACAAAAAATGAACCAATAAGAGAAAAGGAGGGGGAAAAAAGACAAGACCACCTACCAGGACCTCCAAGAGCCTTCTTATCTGCAAATAAGACACAAGTAATAATGAACTATTCCACTGAATCCTTTTTAGAGCCTTGTCCCATCCCAGTATCTATCAGTACAATATAATGCTGGATAACACAAAAATATGAATGTTCAGATTATTAAATTAGAGCTGAAACAATCAGACAACTTGATTAGTTGATCAACACAGAGCAGCTGAAAAGTGATTCAGAACACTGCTCAGAGCAACTCAACAAGGAAAACACGAAAACCTTTATCTTAGTCTGCCAGCTGCTGAGAAGTGACACATAACTCCCAGTGTCAGTGTGGTGTTACCAGCTTGCAGCATGGAGCCCTAGGCCCCAGGCATTATTTTAATCCCTCATCAGAAAACCCAAGTGAGAAACTCTGTTTTCAAATCTTGCTGCAGTGGAATTACAAATAACAGGTGACAGCTGCTGAATGCAAGGATGTTCCCTTCGTGCAACATTTCAGCCAATCACGTATCTTGATGAGAAGGCTCTGTTAAAGACAGAGCTCAACCTGAGACAGCATGATTACCCTGCTAATAGAGGTTATAAAGGTTTAATTGCTTAAGTTTATTTACCATGCTGGTAATTTTAGTACTTAATCTATTTGATATTAACAGGACAAAAATGGCTCACAATGGCTTCATTTTCTGATGGGTGCGATGATGTGTATATGCATCTGATCAATTACACCATCACCACCGGGGAAGCTGGCTATGTCTGGGAGCCTGCGAGGTGTGAACGTACAGTGGAAATGAAATGCAGTGTCACAATATGAGATATGAAAGCGCTCTAACAGTTTGTGTGATCACTCTGCTGATGGGAGGTTGCAACAGACACATCATCACTGCTGCATTGTTTCATTTTTCAGTTGCCAAATATCCTAATGTTGTGATCACTTTCATTTCTGGCATTACTGAGTTGGGTGGGAGATCATCCACAAACATTATCACTGTTCAATCTAATCTGAAGCCTTTGATTAACTCACTGCTGTTCAGTGTTTGTCTTTCCATTATGTTATCCTCTGCCCAAGAAACTCTCCTCTCTACTCAACAGTTTTCACATTAGGAGCTCTCTTAGGGGCTAAGATACTTTGTGAATAACTTTTTTTCTTTACCAGGACCTAGTCATAACTTTAAGACCAATTTCTTAGAAAACATCACAATTATAAGAATGCAAGGTCAAAGTGTTTATTCGCCATATGCACAGATACATGTACAATGAAATTCTTACTTTGCCATCCACAGAAATGCCACAAAATACAAATGAAATATAAAGTAGATGAATAAGAACCGTCTTGGAATTTTGTAACTAGGACTCACTCTTTGAACTTAGGACGCTTTGTGAATACGGGCCCAGAGTGTTAGTGTTCATTTTTCATCCTGTGTCAAATACTTACGGATGTCTCTGAAGTGTATGATCAGCCTTGCCACCATAGATAAATACTCCTCCTGGAAAGAAAAAAGAGCAACAGTCAGTATGACACATTTAGCCCATCATGAAAAGGATTGTTATTTTGTACTACATTACATTCTTCAATACAGGTCTTTAAGAAGACTCTTCCATGAAAAAACATTTTCTGTGGCCTGAAAAACCTTAAAGTACTTACTCTGGTTTTGGCTTTGGCATAAACGTGGCTCTCCATGTCGTTGCTGGACTTTGTGTGTGCAGTTCCTGCCTTTCTCATCGTCTCATCACTAGACAGAAATACAGGAATCACACACATTATTATTTACAAAGGGAAATAAAAACTATTTTTCCATTCACACTATAGCAATTTCTAGGCTTGTACTTGGTATAACACAGTAATGCTGATGCAGCTTTCTGCGGTTTTTAACTTATGATTTATGATACAGCAGCACTTCTGTTCATGCACTGCAGTAATGTTTCTTTGTTAGAGCACTAGTTTACTGTTTACAAACTACTTCAATAATTTTCTGGTTATAAAACTGTTTTAAGCTTTTAAAGTGTGGACATTTGATGGTGCTGCAAGGAATATTTAGGATGAATAAAGTTCTGTTTTTATATCTCTAGATAATAATAACATATGTTTATTTATTCATATTTTTGCAAAATATTTCACCTTTCTATTCCTGTGGTCTCCATAGTAGCTGTGACTAATATCTTAAGGACCTTAAGTAATGTAAATCCATATTTTCATAACACTTAAGGTAATATTTCCATGTCCTTCCTTAAATTTCTATTTCACTACATTTCTGAAGCAAACTACACTTGTTTCAAAGCACTAGTTACTTTACAGATTCAATTTGCTATTACAAATTATAATAATAAGCAAATAAATTACAATGTATTATTAGAGATTAAACTACCAGGCAATCCACGCTTATACCATATGCAACATTAAAGGAATACATGCATCAATTCTGCATAATGCGTAGTTTTGTATTTGGTAAATTAAGCATATTTTGATACTAAAACTTTTGATGCTGTACCTTTACTTAAGCAAAACCTTGAATGAAGGATTTTTACTTGCAACAGAGTATTTCAATTAAACTCTTCCCTGTCATATACGATAGCAAACTGAGCATCTCTGGTAAGACTGTTAGGGAAGTTAGACATAAAATAAACATATGAGCTCTGGGAAATGATGGGTATTTACACTTTTATGACATTTCATAGGCAAAAAATGTTTGCGATAACGGGAACATTTTAAATAAGACACAATGGCTACAAAGCGTGTTTATGTGACATGTTAACCTCTGCTCAGTACATAATTTATGAGTGATGGTAACGTTAACATAAAAAAAAGTTAGCATAACTTTCTATATGAACTGACAAACGTTAGAACTTGTAGCTAAATTTGCTAATAGTGAAGTTTGATATACTTCTCAAACATAGTTTGTTGACTTTATATACGCCAAATAACAGAATCTTTCATAATTCGTTTCTCTGGCACGTTTAAGCACCAATTTTATGTTATTACTATTACAATACTGACTTGATTTACCGATTACTTTAAGCACAGTTTCGCGTGACGCTCTTTCGAGCAGAGCTAACATTAGCTTAGCTCATCAGGCTAAAAGAAACACAAGCAGCGACTTAGCTAAAATACATTAAATATAACTAAAAATATCTCACATCTGTGCCACAATTTTTTGTCGAAACTGGGGGCTCCTCCAGTCACTGTCCGCTCCTGGGACATCCATTTCAGAAACTATTTCGTTTTTGAACGATATTTTTTACGCTCTAACGTTTTCCCTCTGTTCTTCCTTCTTCCGCTCTGAAGACAATGGCGGCGGCGGCTGTGTCTGTGTTAACTAACGCTCCCGCCGCCTGCTGGATTGAGGGGTCACTTGTCCACTACAGCTTCTGCACAACCACGTTCACGACTGCTTCGGCTTGGTTTTCACAATAATGTTTTATTTTGCAAAACATCTATTGCGGAGTCAAACTGACTAACTGATAGGCCAACACAAGCCTTAAACAAAAGCTTCTGGTTTTCAGAGACCCAAAGAAAATAACGTGGGCTTCATAGATAACTGGAAAACATTTTGGGGAAAACCTGGTCTGATTAGCAGAGACGGCATCC